GAATGCATGACCCTTTTGTTGAAAATTTTGGAATCGTAACTTCAAAATAAAGCGTGTCTCTCTCAAGCACAAATTTTGTTCCAAACATTACTTATGGGGAAGGCGTATGAAGGGGGCATGATTTATTGACGTCAGTGAAGGTTGTAGCATTTAAACAACTGCCACTTGACCACACGTGATGCGAGTAGCCACTTGAGGGAGCGACCTTTGTTGGAAGCAACCGTATAAAAAATTCTAAACACACCTTCTGAAGTGGGTCGTGGTGGCCAATGTGATTGATAGTAACAGACGAGATCCAACGGTTTGCATAGATCAAGATGATCTATTCGATAAGCCCTTTAATGTATTAGAGTTTACGTTACGACGAATTCCAGGACGGGTATCAACGCAGGTGTCACAGCCCTAACCCCATGACTAGCGGACTTTTCAAATTGAGCTGCCATTTTTTTCGCCCTTCATTCGCATGTAAACTTTATTACATATACGTTGGCTGGCCTACTTCGCCCATTTTAACAGATTTTTACATCTCTTTGTTTTTTGGAACTACAATGAGGTCATCAGTATACGACGCCAGCGCTGTTTTGAAAGCAATCCAATTTGGGCTATGATTTACGAATTTTCCAAGGACATTTATCCATAATGTCGACCATTGGGGTTATTTACTATTATAGACGGCTTTTGATTTCTCTTTGTTATGGGTCTGTGCGCCTAATTTCTATCCTTGTGGATGGAGGAAGTTTTTGCGGAAAATTTTTGAATTATCTCTCTTTCTTTCTCACATGCGCAAACGACCCGGTTCCCACTCCAGATATATGTACGATACTGCAGTGAGGAAGAAGCGTAGATCTCATACAGGTCAGAAGGAGCCATTGCAGCCTGACTCTTAGTTCTGATCGGGGCCCGAGTTATCCCATCAGTAGGAAAACTACCTCACGCCATTACTGTCTGCTGAGTCTCAATTTAACCGAATATTCGGGCGACTACACGTTAGTAGTCCGGGTGATCTGATTAAATTTCCAGAGAGCCAATGACACTGAAAGGAAAATTCAATTAGCTAACACTAGCACCCTCAACCGTTTCTTTAATCTGTCGATTGCTCCCCGGAAGACGTTTTTTAAGTCAAGGCAGATTTTATTGTTTGAAACATTTCATTGTTGCTGTACAGGGGTAATTTGGTCAGTAAGCTGGAGTCCCGATCAGGTACATGGGCCCTGGTCGAGGATTGGCAGAGGTAGAGGTGATGAGCCAAAAAATTCCGAGAGCTCATTCTCCTCTCGTGGTTTTGATCGTGGTCTCTGTCGGACAACATCAGCATCCTCCTCGCACAACCCACTGTCGTTTGCGCCAAGGAAAGGCTCCTGTGCAGAGTCAAGGAAGGAGTCGTTGAGGACAAACCGTTCCAGTGCTTCCGGATCCTCTGAATTGACAGTCCGCGGCTCATCGGAGAGTACACAGCTGAGGTTGTCGTCTCCTGATTGGTTGAACCTAGCATCATGACCCTGCGCTGCGGTTGGCTCACTGAGTATAGTGCTGATGTGTTGGCCGTCAGAGCAGTTGGTGTTTGTGCTGTCTAGACTGGTGAGGCAGTTCTGGGTTGGTCGCAAAACACTCCGCCTAAACTTGGCTCTGGCATTTTGAAACCAAACCTAAAAGTGAGAAGAAAAGGAGAAATGACAACCAATGAAATGTCTAAAGGTAATACTTTGTTTTAGTTCAGCGAAAATTCCCATTTCTACGATTGAAAAGTCGTGTTG